AAAAAATAAACTTAAAAAAATTGATGGAATTATGTGTTTCACGTCTCATTGTTGGCCTGGACGAAATCATAATGGTTATTGCATTTCGTTTACTTGAATATCCACATAATTGTGTAAATTTATGTGAAAATTTATTACAAGTTTTTAAAGAATTTGGTGTGTTAAATAAACTATTTAGTGTTATCTTTGATAATACAAGTGCTAATAATGCATGTATTGAGCTTTTAATTAGAACGGTTACACCCCTATATGATTCTAAATTATTTCACATGCGTTATGTTTGTCATATATATAATTTAGTTATGCAAGATGATTTGAAATTAATAATACCACAAATAAGTATAATTAGAGAATTTATTAATTATATTTCTTGTTCAGATTCTAGACAACAAGAATTTGCAAAAATTTGTAAAAATCTTAAATTGAGAAGAAAAAAATTTGTTGATGATGTTCCTAATAGATGGAATTCAACTTTTTTTAATGTTAAAATCGTGTGTTGGCTATATTAATACTATTAATGCATTTGTTAATTCAAAACAAAATCAATTTTATATAACTGATTCAAATTGAGAAAAAGTATTTAAAGTTATGAAATTTTTGAAACATTTTTATAAGGCAACAAAAGTTAGTTCTGGAGTTTATTATCTAAATAGTAATCTTGTACTTTTACAATTAATAGAAATTGCTGCATAGTTTTCATCATTTAAAGATCATCCATTTTTCTTTCAAATTATTTATTTAATGGAGGAAAAATTTAAAAAATATTATGAAAACATGCCACTAATTTTTCCAGTGACAGCTGTAATGGATCCTCGCATTACGTTGTTTGGAGTTCATTGTGCTTTAGAATCACTTTCTGAAACATTAGCTTTTAACATAAATATTACAAATCGACAATTGAATATTTTTATTAATGAAATGTATAATAACTATTTTATTAAATATGGTAACAATGAAAATATTTATTCTTCTAAAAACTCTATTACAACTTTTAAAGGCAAATCTTATTTTTTTTTCATAATAGTTAAGAAACGTAATGTTCTTGGTTCTTCATCTACAAATTCAACTGCAAATCCAAATACCACACCTGCTGAACTAGAAAGATATTATTAATTTGATTATTATTGTTTAATACCGAAGATGAAGTTGATAATTTAGATATTTTTTGATTGTGGAAATTAAATGAGTGAACATACCCTGTATTAACTAAAATGACACTAGATATACTAACAGTTCCAGTCTCAACAGTGACATCCGAGTATGCTTTTAGTGCAGGTAACAGGGTATTGGACGAAAGAATATCTAGATTTTAAGAAGATATTTTGGAAGCTCTCATATGCGTGAAAGATTCGATATTTGCGGATCAACGGATGTAAGATAAAATTATTGATGATGTTGCTGAAAATTTCAAAAATCTTGCAGTTCCTGAAAATTCATTGGAAAACAAATATTAAAATATATAATTTTTGAACAACTAAATTATAGTTAAAATTTAAGTATGTGTCAACATAGTTGAGATATACTTAAATATAAATTATAATAAAAGTAAGTGACAACTTAGTTGGGATGTATTTATACTATAAATATTTGATAATAGTAATTAGGAATGCATTTAGTTGTTATTTGTTTAAATTAAATTTAACTTTGCAAAGTTATAAATAATTCGTGTAACATTAAATTTGAATTCTATGTAAACATTTCTTCATATAAATATGAATTTATCATTTTATTCAATTTTTAGTTTATATTTAACAAAAAAAATATTTTCTGCTATAGATATGAAAAATTCTATATTTTTATAATTTTATTTATACAATAATACGGGTCAAATTGGAACAAATCGCGACCTGCATGGGTCAGATGGTGGGTTTGGGTTGTAGTCCAAAATTTGTGGGCAGACCCAGAACCAGTAGCAGAAGGACTTTTTTTTCACACGGGCCGTACCGAACTCATATGTTGACGGGCCAATCCAGTCCGGACCATTCGGATTGACACATCTGTGTAATATAGGTATAATGTTCCTCATCACGAAAAATTGTTTCATTCAATCATGTTTGGTGTTCATTCGCTTATAAAAATTTTTATGTATAAGCTCGTGATAATTTATTGTTTAGTGCCTCAAAATTTTCAAGATCGACCCTATGAACGTCACAAGTGTATAAAAATCATTTACATCTTTACACATGCTCTGATATCCTCCCAATTTCGGCACCACAAGCAGTTATTAAATGATTTGAAAGCTCTATCTAACTGTAGAATCTAGTTATCAAAGGTATCGGACTGGACCAGACTAGTGAGGCTAAGCTTTAAACTATAGTTCTTGTTTGGCTTCCATTATTTTCAAAATATATTTTTTTATTTTATTTTCAACCACACATTCTTCAATAAAATAATATTACATATAAATTTAAAATTTTTTCTTATTTTTTAATCATACAATCTCCATCAAATCACTATTCTAAAATAAATTTTCGCAAAATAATGGGACTCAAACATGTTAATAATATTGGACAAATGATGTCCAACAAACTTCTATTTTTCTTCTAATTGGTTTTATGAAAATGGAATAAAATTATTCGAGCGGACTGTAAGCTTCTAGAGCATACTCTCCTTCCACAGCAGTCTCGACACAATTTGACACTTAGCCATACCCACAATAAATTGAAACCCGTCGACTATTTTTACCAGAAGAATTTGGATACAAATTTGAACCATTTCCGATAATCACTTCATGTATACAGTATATAAATTACATAATCAATGACGCACTTAATGCTGTGCATTGTTAAGCATTTCCCCCGTGGACTGGTGGACAGAAATGATCTTCTACCAAAATAACAATCCTGTTTGATCCACGTTGGAAAAAAATTCAATTTTTTAAAATTCATTTTCAATCACATATTTTTCAATAAAATAATATTACACGTAAATTCAAAATTTTTTCTTATTTTTTAACCACATATTTTCCATTAAATCACTATTTAAAATGTATTCTCTACTCAA